CCTACAATAGAAGCTCTATTTTCAGGCTGGATTGGTAAAGCTAACTAGGACAGAACTCAATATCCAAAAATGAATAAAATAATTAACTTTAACTCACAGTATTTCATGAGAAACTAGAATTCAGAGGCACTTCTATTCGGGATTATGGTGGTATTTTATTTGTACTGAAATGTGATTTTAATTGTATGTTAATAAATAAAGTTGCCCGGGGGTCAGAGCTATTAGAGCCATAGCAAGAGCATGGTGGCGGCGGCGCACGCCTTTAATCCCAGCACTTGGTAGGCAGAGCTAGGTAGATCTCTGTGTGTTCAGGGATACAGCCAGCATTGGAGACACACGCCTTTAATCTCAACACCAACCATAGAAGACCTGGAAGTCTCTACAGACAGGCAGTGACGAGGCAGTCGTGTTTGGGTTTACCACCAATGAGAAGGCAGAACAGAAAGACTATATAAAGACAAACACACAGGAAGTAGCTCTCTTTCGGAGAGGTCTCTTGGCTGAAGAGGCTAGCTTCAGCAGGAAGGGTAAGGCTCTTAGCTCTGATCTCTTGGCTTTCTTCTTTGCATTGGTTCTGTGTTTCTTATTTAATAAGATGGTTGGTTACATCTACACGGGATATTTATCTAATATAAAAAAAAGACATTGAATGCTGGGAAGTAGGAGACATATCCATGATAAACAATGTCCCATTGCACTTAAGCCAAGTTATATGACCACGGGAGTCACCACAGCCCACTGAGAAACGCTGTGGAACAGAGAATGGGAAGTTGGCATTCACCCTAGCTCTTCACTCACTTCCCTGCCTCCAAATCCAGAACTGTTCAGTTCTTAAACCCCACACAAGGCACCCCTAAGCTGCGGTGCAGAAGCCTTTGTCTCCCCTCCCTCCTTCTGAACCTGAAACTTACTTTTCTTTGGTCCTCAGTGACAGTGGAGCACCACTCCGCCTTCTTCACAGCGCAGAGGCAGCTGAAGTGCCCTGGCTTTGACCCTTACTCCACAGGTGAGCTGTATGTAAACTTAGCCATGTGACTAAGATTCATGGTTTCCTTTTCCATTCTCCCCATTTATGCATCTCATAGGAATCACTGAATTTTTTTCAATGTAATAATTATCATCCCTTTTAAACAAAATTTTGGCAAGTCAGAGAAAATAATCTATTGGATGCATTATAGTTTCCATCAAATGATAGAAGTGAATCGCAGGGTCCTGTGGACCCCGGTCATTTTCCAGTCCCTCTGCCTAGAGAGGAAAAAGGAGCCTAAGCAGATTCTCGCTAAAAATTACTTTTTAATTATTTAAGATTGCAATACAATGAATGGCATCTTTCCCCCTTCCCTTTCCGCCCTCAGGATCTTCCCATACACCCTCCTTGCTCCTTCGTGGCCTCTTTTTTCACTGATTATTGTTGCATGCATGTAATGAGCTAAGATCTTTTAATGCTCTTTAGGGAGTATAATGTGGGTTTGGGTTTGGGCTTTTTACTTTTTAAATAATGTGTTCTGCCTGGATGTATGTGTGTACATAACTGCATTCCTGCTGCCCAAGAATTCAAGAGGAGGAGGGTACCAGGTTCCCTGAAACTGAACTCACAGGTGGTTGTGAGCCACTACAATGGGTGCTAGAAACTGAACTCAGGCCCTCTGTAGGACAGCAAGCTGAGCCATCTCTCCATCCGATATTTTCATGTCTGTGTACGAGCGAGTGCAGACGCGTGTGTGCCATGGTATCCGTGTGGCAGTCAGAGGACACCACCAGAGTTCTCACCTCCCACCTTGTTGAGGCAGGTCTCTGTTTCTGCTGCTGTGCCAGACCAGACGGCCCATGGCTATTGGGCAATTCTCCTGTCTCTGCCTCCCAGATTCCCGCAGGAGTGCTGGTGTTCCCAATGCACACCACCACACTTGCCCTAGTGTGTAGGGTGCAGAGACCTAACTCAGGTCACTAAGCTGTGCAGCAAGTGTTTTTACCCAGAGATAGCTTCTGGCCCCAGATGATTTTTTTTTAAATATGGGAAAGTAACCTTGGGTAATTAACTCTTAAAAACAGATTTTTCTGAACTACAGGGTTTTTTATGTTTAAAAAAAAAAAAGATGAATTTCAAGTAGAGAATATTCTGGTGCATTTTCCTCATGAATTTACAATCTGTGGTTTTATGTGGGTATTTCTTATTAAAGAAGATTTAGTCCTATATTTTGACAGTTGACAAGAGCATCAATGCTCCCTTGAAAACCTTCCCCTTCACTTTGAACTGGAACCAAGAATATGCCATGCTAATTCCATTAATCTATTTCTTCTCCTTATGGAAATATTTCAAATAAATGTAGCTACTTCAAAAGTGTTAACACAAAGTAGCCACCCATTTTAATGCATTTTATTTTATCCTAAAATGATGTATCTATATAACCACGACTTGACAGTTCAAAGCTTGCTCTGATGAAAGGTCTAATGGGATCCTAATAAATGATGATTATTGGCCCACAAGATTACTAGGAATTTGGCTGTTTTATACTATGACACAGTGTACAAACCAGGTGTAACATCTTTGTGAACTCGGCAAGCCCCATCTGCTGTGACACCTATTGTCATATGTCAGGCTCCTCTTGAAGTTGAGTTCGGGAGAAGGAGCTGAGGAATCAGGGTCTGGACTCCTTGCCCTTCCTAATCAATGATGCTGAAGAGTAACCAGACAATTTTCCCAAAAGAAGAGCTCAGTTTGGGATTTTTGTCAGCTATGAAAACCCCTCCTTTCAAACTGTCAGAATTTTCTTATGGAAACACCGCACTTCACCTATCTATATTTTAAGAAGTACATCAGGCTGGGTCTTTAACTTGGTTGGTATAGCGCTTGCCGAGCATGTATGAGGCCCTAGATGGAAGCAGGAAGATCAAAGGCTCAAGGTCATTCTTGGCTACATACATAACAAGTCTGAGGCTAGTTTGGTATACATACCACCACTCTCCTAAAAAACGTGCACATCTCAGTCTCACCTCTAGGCTACGGTCTACAATGTCCAGCTCTCTTCCATTGGTCCTCACTTAGGATCAGAACTTCAGTTCAGCATGTCCAAAACAGGCCTCAGTAAGGAGTAACAGCCAAGCCCATTGCCTTACGTTAAAACCTATTTTTCTATGTGTGTGTTTTGCCTGTGTGTTTGTATAACATGTGCCTATCCTCGGTGCCTACAGAGTTCAGAAGAGGGTACTGGATCTGGAGTTTGGGTTGGCTCTGAGCCATGCTGCGGGTACTGGGAACCAAACGCTGCAAGAGCAGCACAGGTTCTTACCCACTGAGCCATCTCTCCAGCCCCACGGGTTACATTTTTAGCTCTGCATATTAGGACCCGAAAACAAAGCAGTCTGTACCTTCAAGCTGAACCCTACTTTCATATGTAGTGGATTCTGTGCCCTAGTTCCAGCCTCCCCACCTCCTGGCAGGGCTGGGGTTAGCCTCAGAGGGGAAGTTTTCCATTCCAGCCACTCTTAATGGCTTTGAGTGCCAGACCCATAGGTCTCACTGCCAACTGATCAAACGGGACGTCCTGCTCCAAATCTAGTTTTCTTGCTGCTGTCACACTAGAGCATGCCGTTTCCCAATGAGACACAAAGGCCTATCTCCTGTCATGGCCACACGCTACCTTTACCAAAAGAATTTATCAGTTGCCTGCCCCGACATTTGGGAGATTTCCTGCACACATGCAAAGGATGCAATAAAGATCCCACTTTGGTCTCCAGTTGGCTGCGAAAACCTCATATGGCGTTTCCATCAGCGAGAACTTGGAAGGGGAAGAAAACATTGTACAAATGCATCTTAAATCCCTAATACATTCTGATGTATTATGCTGATTCAGATCCAAGGTGACAAGCACCAAAAGATCACGGTGAAATGAGGCGTTTGTGCAACCAAGGCTGATCTGAACAACCATATGCCTGGGTACCCGGCCTTGGCCTGTGTAGCAGGTTACAGCAGCTTTTATTGCAGTCTCAATGGAACAAAGCTCTGCTTTAGCTGGAACTGTCAGGTGTCAAACAATACACAAGGAGAAAGCCACCATGTTAAGAATCAGGATACAAGAAGCAAACAGAACTCTGGCCTTGAACAAAGAATAGAATGGAGAACAGACAGTGGATTTCAGCCCACAATGCTGTTCAACTTCTCAAGGGCATGGGTGTGTGGAAGGGAGGGCAGCATAGTGGGAAGGAAGCCCGGCAGCAGCGTGGGCAAGTGAGTTCTCAGAGACTCACACAAGACAGCAGCTAGTCTAGATCGCCGCCCAGCACTACCTGATCCTGATCTGGGAGGGGCAGCTGTAAATACTGGGGCATCACCTCCTTCAAAGGGGTCCCAAGAACGACTCAAAACTGAGCAGGAAGCTCCTTCACTGCAGGCCTGGCATGGGCACACCGAAGTGAAAGAACTGAAAATGAAAATACGATGATCCTTCCCCTGATCTGGGTACCAGAAACTACATTTTCTTACTAGAGTTCAAGACCAGAAGCTACGGAAAACCTGTCCCAGAATAAAAGTAAAAGGGGTCCAGGGATTCACTGAATCAAAACGCACTGTTAACATGGTTCTGAGGAAATCTGTGTATAGCATGGCCCATGCCTGTCAGCAGATAAGAATCACAATGAGGAGTTGGAGATGGCTCAGCAGCTATGAGGACTTGCTCTGTGACTGTGAGGACCAGAGTTCGAACCCCAGCACTCACAAAAGCAGCTCACCTGTAAAGGTGAGCAGAGATAGGAAGGTCGCTGGAACTTGCTATCTTCTTGCCTAGATGAGGAAGTGGGAACACTACCTTCAGGGAGAGAGCCTGCCTCCAAACAACAGGTGACTAGAGGACACCTGGTGGCCTCTTCTGGCCTACACACACACACACACACACACACACACACACACACACACACACACACACACACACAGTATACACTCACACACAGAGACATGAAGAAAGAAATCTTTAATTAAAAAAAAAATCACCATGACCACTAGACCTGTTCCAAAGCAACTCCTTTAATGCATACAAAAGGCAAAGAATGAAGTCAAAATGGTTGTATTTTTACTTTGGCTTGTATTTCTCATTCATGAAAGCTTGCTTTGGGGGAGCACGCCCACTCTCAGCAAGCTGGATGCCCATGCATGCTAATATTCTTCCTCAGTGGTTCCTCGAACCTGTAAGCAGGAGTCAAACCACTACTCACTGGGGACCCCTGGATCACCACAGTCAGGAGACAAGCTTGCACTTCCTGTCACCCCTGGAAGAGCCTCGACACCAGCTCCCAAACCCTGGCATCTGAGGCTGCTGTTCTGCTCTGTCTCATTAGGAGAAGGGTGGTAAGTCCTGCTAAGAGTTTGACTTGAACAAATTATTTAAAGCCTGATACATGTAACTCTGCATCACTCGGTGTTTCTGAAAACATTTAAAATAATGAACACTGACTGGGAAACTCCTTATGTTAAATGAATGTGTGGATTTTGCAGTCCATTATCTTTGCACCAATAAAGCAGGGTGAAGGTACCAGAAATTATGGATGTGGAATTCAGGAATGTCCTAAACATGGAGAGACATTGACCCTTATTTATGACACGGAGGGAAAATCCTGGTAGTGACAAGGAAGCATGGGATTACAATGAGCCTCCAGCAACATGAAGCATTCAGTGTTTCCAGTGTCACACAAACCCTAGCAAGACGATAAGATGACCAGCGTTACAGGTGCAATGCTTTTTAGATGTCTGGACCTGAGTCAGTAAACAAAAGCCCCAGATACCTGCAGAAAAACACTTTAGCCCAACTGAAACAAACAACTGTAACTTCTCTATAATCCTCCTTACTACATCACCCTCCATTTGCATATTGCTGTTTCCATTCATCATTGGTTAAAAGATTTACAACCACAACACCAGCCTCACACTGTAATAACATCATTTCACATCCAAATTTATTGTTGGGCACCCAACCTCCTTCCAAGCTATTATACAAATGTTTTTGAAATTATTCTTTCAAAGTTTTATGCAATGCTGTACATGCTTTAGTTTACAATATAAAAAGATACCAAGATGCCTGGCAGTGGTGGCACATGGACTCAGGAGGCAGAGGCAGGCAGGCAGATCTCTGAGTTTAAAGCCAGCCTGGTCTACAGAGTGAGTTCCAGGCAGCCAAGGCTATACAGAGAAACCCTGTCTCAAAAAAACCAAAACCAAAAAAAAAAAAGCAAGATGAACATGTATTCAGGCTAAGTGAAAAGAAAATTATGCTGAACCATACATATATCAACTTCATTCGTGATCCTCCTGTCTCGGCCTTGTCAGTGCTGGGGCAGCAGGCATGTACTCCCATGCCTGCATATTTTTCAACTGCTAGGTGATTATTCAAAATTAAACTGAATGTGAGTAAAACACTTATCAAAAATTCTGCCATCTCTTCCATATCCAAAAATGATCCAAAGATTCCAGTGTGCCAGAAGTGCAGACTGTGATTTTCCCTCAGCAGCAGTATGTACTTCTTGACATCACAGATCTAAATCTAAGAGCTAACTGGAATTTGATGTCCTCCAAAGGGACTGTGACACATGCTCACAGGCACTGTTTGCCCTAAAGGGTTCACTCTGGAAAACAGGAGTATCGGGGGTATTTTCTACACCCACATCAGGACAGACCTTAAAAAAGCCGCTTCACAACCGAGTCCCAGACTTCCGCCTCAAGCTCTGCTCACAAACCCACACTAGTCTACCCCACATCCAAATCTAAAGGCAATTAGAGACACATTTCCAAGGAGTATGTTAGGCCCCGGCTAACTATCCAAGGTTGGTTTCAGCCTTTAAGAAAAAGCGCTCATCCACGCATTTATTTTTCACTCTTCAGGCTATGAAAAGACTTGGAAAGTACAACTTCAGTTTCTGCTCAATTCAGGGCCCAGTGCCTGGTACCAAGGGCTTCTTCACAGATGTAATATTAAGTTCTGGTTTAGAAGCACTGGTGTGGTTTGTGCCTCTCCACTGGATCTGTATCTTATTCTCACACACTCTGTGACACCCCCTCAGATCTCAAGTCCTCCGAGAGGTGCAGGGCCAGCAAGCCCTCTCTATTTCTGTCATTGGAAATAGATGGCAACCGGCCGGGTCTCACTAGTAAGGAAGTTAGGATACCCCAGCTAAATGCTCAAGCCCAAAACTTCATTTTTCCCTCTCACAGAAGAGCTTCTGTGGCTACTGATTCACTAATGAATCTCCAGATGTGAACATCTGGATAACACAATACACTTGTTAATCCTGACAAATCTACAGTTTGCTGGTGAACCATGGGCATGGATTTGTCCCTCCTGTCTTACAGATGACCAAGCACCTAACTGACCTGAGCCATGCAACTGTTTTCAAATTGGCCAAGAGCTGCCACTAAAAAGTATGACACTAGGAAAAAAAAAAAAAAAAAAAAAAAAAAAAAGCTGTCAGTCATAAATTCTCAGGGGAAATAGGATCCCCAAGGAACTTATAAGAAAGTTGTATATAATATTTCTATAATCTTTAGAATTTTAAAGGTAAGAAATGAAGTTTTTGTACCATTCGCCTTTCTATGGTGACTAAAAATAACTGCACTACTCAAAACTGTGACCACGTGACATGAGATTGACGCTCACACTTAATTCCTCTCACGAGGACTGCTTTAAATCCAACAGGAGGGACTCATCATCCTCCACTCTCACCTGAGGTTTAAAAGTCACCTTCAAAGGCTCGGGAGTTGGGGCGTCCCCTCCTTCTTGGGGAATGTACCCTACCTTGGCCACCTCCTTTTCTGTCTCACTGAACTCATCAGGATGGAACTCATGGATGGGCCCCAGAGCCAGGCTACCTGCGATGATGTCCACGCCCATCCCTCTGTCTCCCTCCTGGCCCTCGGCCTTGGGATCCTTAGGTTTCCTAAGGCTGCGCATCTTAAAAGCTTCCTTTGAGGGGGCTGCATTTGAAATCGACTTCTTAAACCTCTCCCCTGACTGCCGGAGCCTCTCCCCTGACTGCCGGAGCCTCTCCCTCCTCTCAGGCGTGACTATTCTCGTTCTAATTCCACTCACTTTCTTGTCAAAATTCTGCCGTGTCTTCTGCATGTTTTCTTTGGAAAACGCCTTCTTGATATGATCAATGTGCTCCTTGCCTGACTTTCTAAACCTGGCAGATCTGCTTTCTTCAACGTAATATTCTTCATCCGACGAGAGCTCTATCGGGGGATCAAAGACTTCCTCCTCCTCCTCCTCCTGGTTCTCGGGCACGCTTCTGTCTTTAACAACAGACAGGGACGAGGGGCACCGAACATTCTCCTGCAGGACAGAAGAGCAAATCACATGAGTGCTTCCTGCATGGCAAGCGTCAGCTTTTACCTCGGGCCGCACCTTAGAATCCTCCTCCATGCTGTTTGTCCCCAAGCTGCATTCTCAGGGTCTCTCTCTCCTTGGCCATTTTCTCACAAATACTGTTTCTTCGCTTCTCCACTCCTAAGATGACAAGCCTCTCCATGTGGACATAGCACAGGCACCGTTAGTCAGAGGTGCAAACCTCCAGGCCCACCCATTGCGCTCTCCACTTGCGTTTCCTTCCCTCTCTCTCAGCAGCAGTGACCCTCTGGGTGTCACCCAAGGCAGAGACCTCAGAAACGTCACCCCTAGACACACCCTCACCCTCTTGTCCCATGGTCAAGAACTCGTCATCAAGTTCTACGAGTAACACTGCAAAATAATGTTTACTTCTCACTCCTCCACCCATGTCTTAATTCAGTCCCTCAAGACCCCAGGTCTGAACCTGCGCCATCAACCTCCTCCAATCCCTCTCCTTCCAGACCATTATCTGAGAAATTCCTGAGAACTGTTTTTATAGCACGGTCTAGTTATAGCCCACTGAAGACTTCTAAGAGCCCGAACCTTGCAGGATGCTTAGAAAGTTCCTGACCTGATCCTCCTTTCCCTCTTCTCCAGCCCAGAAATGCGCACCATTCTTAAGATCCTCAAACACATACGATTTTGAACCCTCTACACAAGAGGAGTCCATCCTACGCCACCCTGGACGTAAATCCCAGGATAACTATGGATGTCACCCAATGCATTTTCAGATAGCAATGTCATATCTCAGTGTCAAACAGACACTCACCCTCTACACCTTCGTGTATGTGGCTGCGTCTATCTCTAATACCTCTTTACCTTTTTTAGCTTTACAAATGATAGCGTTCCTCAAGAATCAATTCAAATGTCCCAACTACCGGCAAGGAGAGAGTTAAGGCGGCCAAGTCAAGAGAGGCCCTGTGGCCAATAGTGGGGACAATAGCTACTACTCGGACAGGAAAATTTCTCGAGGTTTTAAGGACAGCAGAGGCAGGATTTGACCCATGCTGTACAAGGGTCACTCTGCTGAAGGTAAGCCACAAGGGAGAGACAAGCAGGAAGAATGGCAGGGCGCTACTGAGTTTAAGCAAAGGGAAGGTAGTCAGGGAGGGCGTTTGTGGGCAGGGGTGGGGGTGAGAAGCGTTCTGACTGCAGATGTGCTCAGAAACCAGAGGGACCTGTTGCTAGACCCACAGAGGGAGGAATCCACCATTAGCTGAGACAGGCATGGAAGCAAGAGGAGGAACCTGGAAGGGAAGGGCGAGGCACTGTCTTTGGAATGGGCACTGGGTATGCAGACAGAGAGGCTGAGCAACTGGGATCCAGGAGGGAGGTAAGGGCCAGAAATGTGCATTCAAGAACCATTAATACAGTGATGAAATTAAGTGTCAAGACACTCTTGCACTAGAGAGATCTCAGTTGGTGAAGTGTTTGCCACATGTGAGAACCTAAGTTCAACCCCCAAACTCCATGTAAAAAAGCAAGACATAGGAGAAGCATTTGGGCTCAGGAGGTAAAAAGTACTTGCCAAAGAACATGATGGCCTGAGTTCAGATCCTATGGAAGGAGAAAATCAGTTCCCAAAAGTCGTCCTCTGGATTCCATACACATACTATAGCACACTTGTGCCCACACTTACACACATATCTCACACACACACACACCACACACACACACACACACACACACACACACACACACAGTCAAGAAATCAGAAGAGATAACAGAAGACAGAGTGGTGTTTCATTCAAAACTCCTCAGAGACAAAGGGTACCCTGAAATTCAGAATTCAATTGACTTTTGGAAACCACGATAGATAATATACTATTCCCGGAATGACTTCAGGTCAAGCGAAGTCTCCTGCCAAATGAGTCATTTTAAAAGTTTTATTTTTGCTGCCATGGTGGTAAATGACTATATCCCCAGTTCTCGGGAGGCTGAGGCAGGAGGATCACAAGTTCAATACCAGCCTGCGCTATACAGTAAAACCCTGTTGGAAGGAAGGGAGGGAAGAAGGGAGGGAGGGAGGGAGGGAGGGAGACAGGGAGGGAGGGAGGAAGGGAGGGAGTCTTTAGATTTTGAGTTTAGAATGTTTGGGGATTTTGAACCTACACACGAGAAAGGAAAGAAAAAAGGGAAAACATCAGGCAGTGAAGAGGACAGAAAGCCAGGAGAGCAGGACCCCAGAGGCCGAGGGCAAAGCAGTTTAAGAGAAAAACCAACTCTGCCGAGCCTGTCGGAAGAGAACCGGCTAAAGACAGGCCAGCACGGGGCACAGGTGAAAGGAACCTGGAGTGCTATTTAGAGATCCTTTCTAAAACACAGCAGACAAAACTTTGGGAATTGAGATTTTTAAAAACTGGCCCATGAGTGACAATGTCTTTAAAAACAAACAAACAAACAAACAAACAAACAAAAAACCAAACCAGTATTGATACTTGAGATCTAGGTTGACTCCATTCAACAAGCAGATTCAATAAATACACAAGGAGGATGTTTGCAAATACCCTAAAATACAACGAGCCTGATAGTCGGGAAGGCATCCTTAGAATCTTATTCCTTAATTTAAATTACATTTTTGGCTACAGGATCAGAGTGCCCATGATCCTCCCTCTCCCCAACAAAAGAGGCAGAAGTGGGCGGGAGTCTCATAACTCTCTGATGAATCAATCAGTTAGAGGCAGTGAAGTTACTCCTCTCCCTTCCTGGCACCTGCTGTGGGGAGCAGCCTCAGCAACAGTGTGGGCTGGGCGAGCCTGAGAAGGTATAATTAGACAAGGGAAGAGCCAAAGGGTATTGCTTGGTAGGTAGAAACCCCCACAATCTTGCAGTGAAGGCACCAGACACAGGCAAACAGGACTCACACACCCTTCTCTTCAAACACAGCAGACAGTGCAGAAGCAGGCTTAAAAACAAAGGCGAACAGAGGAAGATTAGAAAAAGACCTTGCCTGAAAAATCTCACAGTCCCTATGAGTCCTTGCTACTGTAGGTTAAGGGCAAACACACTGTACTAATAATGGAAGGTTGTAGGGGTAAATTATAGTTGACTTTGGAATACAATCACATTTGTATATGAAAATCCAGGTAAAATTAGTTTTTCGTTGTTTTTGAGACAAGGTCTCACATAGCTCAGGCATGTCTCAAATTCACTGTGTATTTGAAATCCCAATCCTCCTGCCTCTACCTCACAAGTGCACCACCACACCTGGTTTGAAGTATCATTTCTGTAACAGAGTGGGTCAGAGTAAAGCGGAATTGAATTAATATGAAAGTAACACAGATAGGGACATTTTGGATCCACAGAGCTCTGGTACTTGTAATTAGAAGATGTTCAAAACTTACTTGGTAACCACGGACTTGTGCTTACCAAGTAACTGGAAATATGAGAAGATATGCTGTGGTTCATGCCATGCAATGAGAGGGGTCAACAGGGTGAACACGCATTCAAAGAGAAACGACCGGGGTAAGAATGTCACATAATATTTAAATGCCAACATCCAGAATTTGGCAAAAGCTTAGCCATATACAACTGCAGAAGATAGGATACCAATATTTTGTTTATCTGATACGGTTTTTATTTTTATCCCTTGTTACCAATAAAAAAAAGATTATCAACAAAAGATATGCCTAGGGGAAGCTTAAGGAAAATCTCAAATGGAAATGAAGATATACTTTAGCTGACTAGCTTTAAGTTTCAAAATAATTTTAGAAGAGAAAAATCTTCAAATAACTATGAGAATTGATTATAGCAAATTTTAACACCTAAAAATAGCCATATAAATATCATAAATGTAAATTCTAACATATAACAAGTACATGAATCTGAGTCCTATGTCCATAATATTAGAATTCATGTTTTCCCTGTATGCTTATAAAAGACAGCAATTGCTCTTTTCTGACAAACTCTTGCATAATTTGAACAACCAAATTTCACAGATTCTTCAAGATGTTCTATCTTAAAAGAAAAGAGGTTTGTCATTAACTGGGACCTCTCAGTTCCTTTATGGAACTATAGGATCCAAAGACAGAGAAAATACCAGTAAGTTATAGGGAATAGAGACAAATAAAAAACAGCTTTTAAGTGGGAGTCAGAGAGAGAAGTATGTCAACAGATGGGACCAGGTGGAATTTTTCCTTGTAGCTTCTGTCGATCCTGTGAGGAACCGGTCCACTGCTTTGCTTTAGGCACCCAGACACTCGGGACTCCAAGTGTACTTCCTGACATAACACATGTGAGTGAAGGGTGAGCACCTAGGCTATGGCTAATGCCCCTGCAAGGTGAATGGATTTATTCTGCAGTCCCATGTCCAGTTCACCAACACCTGAAGCCAGGCAACATTTTTAAGCCCAGAGAAAGGCTTCCCGGAGACTGGAAGGAGGATAGGAAAGGACACCAGTCCATTCTTCTATCTTTGAAATAAATCGTCTCTCTCCTCCCTATTTTTTCCTCAATAACCTGTGAACTCTTGGAAACAGATCCAAAACTAGCACTCTCCCTTTCCCGTGTAACTTGACCACTCAGCAGAGAGCTCTGGGGCACTGACTAACGCACGGAGAACGTGAAGGTTATGGGCCCTGGTGCTTCCACTGACTGTGTCCTTTATTCTTCTGGGTTCTGTGTACACGGACTTCCACTTTTAAAAGCACAGAGTTGTGCATGTGCACTAATGAACATTCCCACACATTAATGATCTCAAGCTTAGAACAAATTCTCCGACATGAAATTTGGGGGCCAGAAGACTTGGGAATTTTTAAAGTTTATAATACACACTATCAAAAATGTCTTCCAAAACGTCGTGCCAGCTAATTCTCCCGACAGCAGGATAGGGAGGGCTGTTCTCTGACGTTGGCTCTCTGGATTTACAGTTCTGTAGTGGCCATTGTTTAGGTGGGTGAGAGAAGAGTTCTGCTCTCATCTGCTCTGTACTTCATAAATTTTTCTCTCATCGTTATTCTTTTTTTAGTGTGGGAGAAAAGAGTTTAGCTTGTCCCTTTTGATTTGCAAGAATTTAAAAACAATACTGTAGACGTTATGTATTTTCCGTGGGTAGGTTTCAATTTTTAAAGTATTGAGCAGTTATAGGAACTTGGAGAAAAAAAATGCAACGAGGCACATAATCACTCTATTAAATCAGCTAAGTAAAAAAGCCTTTCAACTGAGTAAGAAATTACCTACGGGACTTCTATACCTGTATTACTGTAAGAATAGTATTTCAAAAAAATAAAACAAGCTGGAGTGGTGGCTCCTGTCTGTAACCCGAGCACTTGGGAGGCTGAGGCAAGAGGACTGTCATAGTTTGAGGCCTGCCTAATGAGGATTAGGTCAGCATGGGCTACAGGCTGGACTGTCTCAAAAAATAGTAAAAACTTTAAAAATAAATAAATGGCCTGGTTTTTCATTCAGAAACAGGTAACTTTTCTTATTGTGACTAATACAAAAAAAAATTCCAACGGGCAAATTCTGTTCAGGGAAGTTTTTGGGTTTCTAGGCTCTCTACGATGAGAATAAAACATGACTGTGTGGGTGCCGGTTCCTAATCTGTTTTCTTTTAGGGGGATGTTGTGTATCAGACTCAAGCCTCAGCCATGTGGGGGAGTGTTCTACTACTGAACTACATCCTCCACCCTTCCCAGTTCCTTCTTTTATGTAACAAAGACCATTTTTTAAACTTGAAATTTCTTAGGAGCCTTTTAGTTCCAGCATTCTAAAGTCTACTGGGTCACTGTGCTTAATAGGACTCAAATGCTGAAAACAACTGACAGCATTAAGTTTCAAAGGCAGAAAACAGCTCGAGCCACAAGCCACAGTTCACATCACATGACCAGTAAGAAGCTCGGGACATGGACGACAGAGTGTCGGTTAGCCAGAAATGGCCTTCTCCTGAGACAGCAACTCGGCGAGCTCCAGTGTGTACCACAGACCATGGCTGAGACGTGACTCTGGAAACCTCTGTGACTTGATGACAAAGGATGAGAGAGAGAGTCTATTCACCAAGCTGAACACAAGTGCAAGCTTACCTGGAATATTACCACACGGAATTTGTTCTTCTTCATTATTTCTTCCTGCTTGGTTTCAACCTTGGTTACATGAACCCGCTGCCTCTCCACCCGGGCCTTCACGTCTTTAATGTGAGCGCTGACTTTCCGGGTCTTCTCAAACAGCTTGTTAACGACGTAGCCCGTGTTGCTGTGAGACTGTGAGAGCTTCAGCAGGTCGATCTGGACAGACTTTATAGCGTTCTCCATTTCCCTGTGTCTCTCTTCTATTCTCTTCTGGCTTGCCTGTACACTGTCCACGATGGTGGCCACCTTGTCCAGCACAGTCACAATGGTAAGAGCAGCATCCTGGTCTTCATCTTCAGTCACACTTGACAATCGATTCTGGTGGACTTTACCAGCATTTGAAGCAGACCCATTGTGTTCCATTTTACTTCTTTCTCGGCAAAAGATGCCCTATAGCAATCAATTCTACACTCGAAGCCAAAAGTCGGCTTGGTAGCAGGCAACGAAGCTGCTTTAAAGGGCTGAAAACCGCACCCTGGAGAGTGGTCAAGTATTTATAACGACAAATGCCCATCCGTGACTGCCCTGCAACATGAGCCCTTGCAAAGCACCGGGGTCAGTTCCAAACATGCTTGCCGACTGACTAAGGGCCTCAAATAAGCCTGTGTGGGCGGAAACCCCTGAAGAAGTTCACTAAAGCCACGGCGCTACTCATACTAAGCCCACAAGCCAAGGAGCTCCAAACACTGAGCAAAGTTTTTCTCTTTGGATCATTTCAAGCAACAGTTTGTATAAGCAAAGAGAAATTTTGAACTGCGATCTTCCCTTCCTGTTAATTTCACCTATTACAAGTACTAATAGTACCAAAGAATACAATAAATAAACACACAAAACAGGCCATATAGTGAAAACATTATATTATAACATGCTTTTCCAAATCAAATTATTAAAATCAATATTTAAGTTTGAACATAGTCTTTAAATTCTACATGCATAATTTTGACTAGCTAAACTACACGTTAAACACCTCGATACACTCTACTCACATTTTAGACCTTTAAACACCAACAATCTATTAATAGGGCTACTACAGGACAAATTTGAATTAGAGGTCTTAGGTCATTTTTAAGCTCACTTTCAGAGCACCAATCATTAACAATTATTTCTGCATTGTATTCACAAACACTGATACAATTTGTATATTCATATTAAAACAAATATCATGTTTAAAAATGAATGTGTATTAAAGTAGTTTAACTGATATGTAGGTTTTACTCCAATCTGCTCATTAAACAGGCTATCTTGACAATATCTAAATCTATTTTCAGTGATCTGTTCAATCATTAATTCTCAGATAGCTTTTCAAATTATTAGAATTATATCTTCAAAGAGAGAAATTGTCAATTGCAGTCCGTACAGCTTATAAATATGTTACATCTAACACACACACAGCTTTGCAGCTCATGCAGTAGGGGCAGTGTCTAAAAAAATCAGGTACTAAATCTCAAAAAACATTTAAATATCTATTTAAACACAGTGTCTTCTAGATTTCTTTTTTGTAAGAAAAGTAATCTGTAAACATCTTTACTTTTAGTTCATGCTCTGCCATTTGCTGTGGTCCTTGGGAAAGAAGTTTGACTTTATGGCCGCTGTGATGTGGGTCCATCCATCTCTGCAAAAATATTACATTCCATGGGTAAAGAACAATTCCTAGTATTACCATGTGGTACAAATTCATGAAATCAATTTCTGTATTTAAAAACATAAAACAGAGACTACTAAACAGTCTGTAGCTAAATATTCTAAATACGAGCCAACAGTACTACACTAAAAATGTCCAAAAATAAGGCCTCTGAAATAAATATTTCCATTCTTTAAAAAAAGACATAATAAATGTACATCACATGGTCAGTGTGCATACAAAAGCCAGCAGTTCAAACCATTCTGGATGAAGTGTCTGAAGTAAAATGACCTAGGTTTTGCTTCTGTCGACGTCCTCTGTTGTTCTTGGGGCATTTTCTGTTGCATGAAAATACAGAAGGGGGAAAACAATCATTTAGTTAAAGACGTTTAAACTATGTAAACAAAGTAACACACAGTTCACACGCTGCACCCAGTCAGGAAACGAAACAAGACACTGTTTAGTTTCAGGCTAGATGAGGACAGACATAATGGCTGTTTGTCCTTTGCTAAATAGCTGGGAGTTGGGAGGGATCACACTCGTGAATGAGGACAGTGCCCACACTGCTGATACACATTTCTGAGAAGGACGCCTGCCTCTCTGGCCTGGCAGCTGCTCAGTTCCGGTGACGGATCACTGTGACGGTAGAAAAGACGCTGACCTGGGCGCTTTCCCTGAGCGTTATCACGGCACCAGAACAACAAGGAAAGCTTAGCTGATGATCTCAGACAGGATGCACTGAAGTCCTCTAACTCAAGAAAACGCCTCAAAAGGAGCTGGTGTACACCCAGTTGCAGCATGCCACAGAAGCGCACTGGAAACTGGGAGCCTGCAAATGAGATTCCTGGACTCTGCTCTTCTATTACAGCAAATGTGGCCCTAACGTGGAACGAATTCCAGACAGGAGAATGTGATAATGAGTGCAAAGGCACCGAAATGAACGTGGGTGGCTTTGAGTGTGGATCCTACTGGTAGGAGTGGTAACTGCCTATTACTATTAGTGGCCACCTGTGCCAAGTCAATGCCCCTTAGTGGAAACAGCATCTTGGAATGAGTTTGTCTGCTCTAATGTTCCGTGTTTTTATTCTATTTCAAAGAGGATTGCTTTGCCTTAACTTAAAAGCCTTAATGACAACGTTTCTGGTGGTTTTCAAAGGATTTTCTCTCACTAATCCTTATAAAAATAGCCTGATGTAGACAGGGCTGGGATCATATCCATTTCATAAATGAAGGAGCTGGCTGACAGGCCAAGCGACCGGTTTTAACTGCCACTAACCCACCATGCACGGGAGGAGTTCCAGGTTCCTGGGACCAAGGATTTTTTTTCTTCTATACAGTAAAGGATTTGGCTGAGACATGTTCAAAGTCCCTGCCAATCTGTCCTTCTAGGCGTCTGAAAACACAAAAGAAGATTCCAAGCATAAAAGAAGAAAACACAACTCACAGAAAAGTGGGCCAGTAGGAACATCCATTTAAAGGAAGATTCCTCACAAGCAACAGCCATTGTGGACGAACAGCTGTTCCCTAACGGACTACATGGGAGAGGCGTGCCTCAAAAATTCAATGGTGTGGTCCAAGAACGTAATCTCAATACTCCACATATAAGACAGCAAGCCATTCGGGAGCAGGGTGGGGAGAGGCTGTGATCCTTACAGTGCAGTAAATGTAGCCCTAACGTGTAACAAATGTCAGGACAGTGCTTCTCTTCTCCTTGTCACACTGTGTGTTCCTCTACTGATGTCCCACATGGTCTCCCCGATCACACATCTTCCCTTGTCCAATCAACTCTGCAAATGACCTTTAATACGGTTCAAACACACTAAACCTCGACAAAAGCAAGTTTGGTTCCTGTCCCCATGCAGCAGTCATATCTGGCTGACCTATTCCCAACAGGACTCAGCACAGCCCTGCTTCTAGATGGTTCAGTCGAAAGAGGAATGACTGAAGAATCATGCAGCACTGACTCCAAACCCAGGCACTTCCCGTTGCTGGCTGAATGGCCACAGGCAGAGCAGTTAACCTCTGAGCCTGTTTTAAATGGCCACAGCTGGCTAGGCTGTTAAAGGCTTTTCCCCCATCTTCCTTTCCTGTTGTCACTGTTTGTTACACCATTCTGTCCCTTCTTTGATCTACTGCCCAATTTTATGCTCAGTAGTCTTGCCTAAAGGCAGATCATCTGTTCTGTGGAATAAAGCATTCTGACTTTAGTGCCTAAACTTCATGAAAAATATCAGCTACTCAGAGAACGTTTTTCCATCATTTCTAGATTTATTATTTTGGTTCCAGGGTGCTGGGACTACTTGAAGGTCTTTTTCCAGGCCCTGGATAGAAGGAAGGCCTATACATCCAATCAGCTTATCAATATCTACTTGACATGTCATGACTCTCTGCTCCCCATGGAAGAAGGAGAACACAAAGATAATGCTCAGGGAACATGAGAACCAAAACTTAAAGGAGGTGGGAAGAGGTGAGGAAGCAGGTAAGACAGGGGATGGAAGGGCAGGGCACTCTGTTCTGGCATTTTTAAAGTTCCAGTTTGGTCTGACACCTTTCTACTCAGTTTGAGAAACACCCATTTACTGTCAACTGAGCTGTAAATAAGTCTTTTAACATATAATAAATGCTTTGGTCTTTTTTACATTTACTTTATGTGTATGCGTGTGTGTGTGTGTGTGTGTGGCGTGCGCGCGTGTGCATGTATGTAGATCAGAGGACAACTTTGAGGAGTTGGTTCTCTCCTTCCACCATGTGGGTCCTAGAGACCAAACTCTGTCAGGCTTGGGGGCCAGCGCCTTTACCCAAAAGCCATCTTGCTGGCCCCTGTGCTTTTATTTTTAACACAGCATTTGAAAGCCTTTTACTTACCGCTGTAATCAGGATGTAGTCAGAGAAGGCTATCTGTAAAGTTGATGGTTTTCTTCCTTACTACACTAACTACAGGTAAAGTATATTCTCAGACCATGAAAAACAACTCTGTAGACTTACAGCATTGCTCACAGCTCCTCAGTGAACATGTTCCAGAAACTCTGCTACAACCACTCTCCCTGAATTCAGAGCTCCTACTACACAGTTCCTAGATCCCTAGCCTCCTTGATTTCATAGACTGTTCTCATACCTCCTCTTCCTATAACGCAGATATGTCCCTAACTCTGGGAATGAGTTCCTGTGGTGATATTGTGTTCCCCAAAATATTGTGCACACTGATAAACTTATCTGGGGTCAGAGAACAGGACAGCCACAATATTAAACATAGAGGATAGGCAGTGGTAGCACACGCCTTTAATCCCAGCATTCCAGAGGCAGAAATCCATCTGGATCTCTGTGAGTTCAAGGCCACACTGGAAACAGTCAGGCATGGTGGCTCACACCTTTAATCCCAAGAAGTGAGCCTTTAATCCCAGGGAGTGATGGCAGAAAGCAGAAAGGTATATAAGGCGTGAGGACCAGAAACTAGAAGCATTTGGCTGGTTAAGCTTTTAGGCTTTGAGCAGCACAGTTCAGCTGAGATCCATTTGGATGAGGACTCAGAAGCTTCCAGTCTGAGGAAACAGGATCAGCTGAGGAATTGGTGAGGTGAGGAAGCTGTGGCTTGTTCTGCTTCTCTGATCTTCTAGCATTCACCCCAATAATTGGCATCAGGTTTGATTTTATTAATAAGTCCATCTAGGATTCCCACTACAAGTTCCTACACACATTCTAAAGAAGCAAGACGGGGAGAAGTCAGACCCACGTAGAAATTTTGTCCAGTGGACTAGACATTAGAACTGTGCCTGATGACTGGGCCCTAGCCCGGTGAATAGGTTTTAAGGGTTTTCTCTGGTTTACACCTTGCAGTGCATAGTTTAAAACCGACACTCTACGGCCATTACCTACCTCGTTATGCACATGACAATTGCTACTATAATGGCGATCTGTACAGCTCCAATAATGGCTGCGATAAGAACGTGCGTGAGCTTCTGCCTACTTGGTACTACATAGAGAATACTAAAGTCCGTCTTTTCACAGTGCTGGCCAGTGTAACCAGATTCGCATCTGCAAGGGGAACAAAAGCAATCCCTATGAGAATTACATTTTTTAATACAGTAATTTT